ACACAAGAGTAGATAATACCAATAGAGATCATATCTCGGCTGATTAAAACAAACCGAAAGAGAGAAAATATATGCAACAGAGAGATGGAAGTCCACGTTTTAAGCAGACTAGCTGCGTGGGTGAACTAGTAACACCTTAAATCAAATTGGCGATTTTCAAACTGACTAGTGGTTTGAAATTTTGACGCAGCTCGAGGAGATCACAAAATATGGTCTGCTTGATTACCCCTTATGGTACCAGGCAAATCACATTTCATGATCTCCTCGAACTGTATAAATTGCAAATTGCTAATCAATTTGCAAATGACTAATTTGATTGGTATGATATAAAAAGCACAATAAGCGTGATATCAAATTATAAAGAAGAGAAGACGAAGTTCAGCAAAGATAACTACCTTTTCAGCGATTCCATTTTCAAAAGCTGTACAATCGCATTTAAATACATAAATTTTCACAGATACAATTTTTATTTGATTCCACATAATTACGAAGGCGAATAAAAGGTGACAATTATTTTCAACTAGATATGGTTTACGAGAGGCTTAGAAACAAAATTATACAGGATTAGGGTGAATTAACAGAAACCTACCAAAAGCAGTATGTTTCCGACTTCTCTGTACTGCAGAAGCCCTCGCAATATGCATCGAAAAGCCGGAGTTGTGTGTTCAAACGAAATTAGTCCAACCTCTACAACTACCATGGACCTAGTTCGGTATGTTCCCTTAACCTCCGTTTTTGATTTTGATTTTTCTTTCGCTGTTTGTGTGATTCTTATTCTCTTTGTCTTCATTCAATTCATCCTATTTTCATATTTTCTAAGTTCGTTTCCATGCTCTTCCTGCTCACACTTGTAATTCGTTTAAAATAACTATTTTACAATTATTTCCTAATCCTGTGTAATTTTTGTTTCTAAGCCTCTTGTAATCTGTATTCACACCTCCTAATTTCCATCTCAAGTTGGAAATTATTATTTCAGTTTGTTTCCATACTCATTTTCTATACACCTGTAATTCGTCCTAATCGTGTATAATTTTGTTTCTAAGCCTCTCGTAAACCATATCTAGTTGAAAATAATTGTCACTTTTTATTCACCTTCGTAATTATGTGGAATCAAACAAGAATTGTATCTATGTAAAATTATGTATTTAAATGCGATTGTACAGCTTTTGAAAATGAAATCGCCGAAAAGATATCTTTGCTGAACTTCGTGTTCTCTTCTTTCTAATGTCCTAATGGGTATTTTCCACGATATCCAATTATATTATGACGTGTGTATAAGTAAGTTCATCTTTTAGATCACTCCTTCACTTAAAGAGATATTCATTCGACAAACTAATGCTTAATAATTTCAATGTTAAATTATACCGTGTTGTCTGTATAAGTAACATTTTAAAATAGTGGAACACTGGGTTCTTATTAATGTCATTACTGAATCATCGATTAGTGCTAGTGTATGGTAGATTCTCTAACTGTGGATCTTATGATGAATCTATGTATTGCTAAATCACTGACATCGACGCCTAGCATTAAACCTTTGAGCCTGAAGTGATATGTTTAGTGGCAATGGCGGAAAACAAATTCAAACTAGAAAATCAATCACCCAAACAGCTCAAGGTACTATGGGGATTCTGATTATGACCTCTTCCCTTCAAATATATATTTTTTTAGTTTGACTCCACACGTATTTTTGTTACAAGTATGGAATTTTCAGAATGTGATATCGGTAACTCAAATTTCGTAGGCTGACCATAGATATCGGGTGTGCGTCGGGAGGGTATCGAACCCCGGACCATGTGCATGGTCGCCGAGCGTGCTAACCGCTGTGCCACCGACGTATATATTTATATATATGTGAAATGTCAATGACTGAAGATGATATGTTCATAGGTGATTTATCCAAGAATCATATTTGATGAATATACTTTTAAACAGCGAAAGGCATCTCCCGCTTTTATTGCCTCGGTGGAACAGCGGTTACTGAATTTCTATATGTCACTATCACTAATAACATGTTTATAAGATGCACTTAAAATAAGTAGGGAAAAATTTCAATTTTCAACAAATCAATACATTAACTCCCATTTACTTCTCACTACTGAACAAACAGAAACATTGATTTTCTTAGATTTCTAACATGATTCAGTGACCAGTGGAATCTACCGAGTCAGGTGTGAGTACAAATATCCACCAATGTCAGTAGTTAACAGTTCAGGCTATATCCCAAATTGGCAGAGACTGAAAATTACGAATCACTGAATCCTGACCCAGTGGTTTTGTGGTGGTTTGATGCAGGCACTGTCTGCCGACATTCCCACAGTTCAATACTCCATACAATATAACTGTTTGAACATTCAGTTTGATGTTAGAGACAGAATACATTTCCCATGGTTATATACTGCATTAACAAAAGAATACTATGTATATTTGAACATTCTATTTCATGTTGTTTGACGTAAACCAAAATCACACGCTCAGTGATTGGTTAACGAATATATAAATTGTAGATATATAAACAGAGGTTTCATTAATCAAAAATATACTTTGGCTCCCGTGGCTTGCCTTCTGTTGTTACAGTTTTAAAGAAATTTTCCTAACTAGTAAACTGATAGTCCTAGACACAATTTCTCCACTGACCATTAGTGAATAATACTGGTAAATTTCAAATTAGGAAGGAACATTGATATAAGAATAGAATCTGGGCACTGTATTATTATTATTATATCCTTTAATTCCTAGAGGAACATAGGGCTTCAGCCGTGCGTCTCCATTGCGTTCGGTTCTCTGCTAGAGTCTTTACCTGGCTCCAAGCCTGTCCACCCGCTTTCATCTCCTCTTCGCATGACCTCCTCCAAGTCACCTTCGCACTGACGACCAACTCGCCGCCGCTTCCCTTTCGGGTTCCACTCGAGTGATGGCCAGTCTAGTGATGTCACTTGATGGTTTCTTCAGAGTATGGCCAATCCATCTCCATTTCTTCCTGCCTATTTGTTTCACAATCGGTTCCTGCTGTGTTGGATCGCTCCCAGAGATCCTTGTTGCTGATTTTTTCTGGCCATCTGATCTTGAGTGGTATTGAAGGAAGATAGCTGTTAATGAAGGTCTGTAGTTTGTTTGAGATGCTCTTTGTGACACACCAAGTCTCTGATCCGTATAGCAGCACTGACTTCACATTGGAGTTGAAAATTCGGATCTTATTTTTGACGCTGAATGCTTTTGACCTCCACACAGACTTGAGAGTAGTGAAAGCTTGTCTTGCTTTTCCGATTCTTGCTTTGATATCCTCGTCATTCCCGTCCGCCTGTAGTTGAGACGATGCTTCCCAGGTAGGTAAAAGAGGTTGTTTCTTTCAGGTTCCTTCCATTTATGCTGATCGTTGTCTGTTGTTGTTGTTCTTGTCCAGGAATCTTCATCACCTCTGTTTTCCCTATCTTCACCTGAATTGAAGTCCTATCTTTGATGCTTCTTCTGCCAACTTGTTGCTTTTTGCATGCATATCTTACATTTTGTGGGAAATCAGACATATATCATCAGCGAAGTCCAGATCCTCCAAGTTTTTTGTGTGAGTCCATTTTATGCCTGTTTCCTCATTGCCCGCTGTTTGTCACATTATCCAGTCTGCTGCAATCAGGAAAATCATTGGCGATAGTAGGCAGCCTGCTTGTCTTACTCCTGTCCTCACTTCGAAGGGTTCCGTAAGTTTCCCATTGTGGATTACTTGGCATACAGCATTGTCGTACAGCTGTTGGATGAGACACTGTCGAAGGCCTTTTCAAAGTCGATGAATTTGAGATAGAGAGGTGACTGCCATTCCAAGCTTTGTTCAATGATGATCCGTAATGTGGTGATCTGATCAATGCATGACTTGTTTCTCCTGAATCCAGCCTGTTCCGGTCGAAGTTTTTCATCCAGGTTGGCATGTTTGATTCTCTCCAGGATGATGCGGCTTAGTATTTTGCTTGGGATGGACAGAAGCATAATTCCACGCCAGTTCTTGCATTGACTTAAGTGTCCTTTCTTTGGTAGTTTGAATAAGTATCCTTCCTTCCAATCCTCAGGTACTTTGCCTTCTTTCCACACCTTCTCCAGTAGTGGCGTCATCAGGTCCGCTGTTGTCTCCGGGTCCATTTCAATGCTTCTGCTGGGATTCCATCTGGTCCTGCTGCTTTTCCAGTTTTTAGCAGCTGGGCACTGTGTTAGAATATAATTTCATAACATATATGAACTTCATATGATTACGAACAATAAATTGTGCTCGAAACGTGGTCATCAATAAATATTACTGTATAACACTGTGAGATTTGATCAAAATAAATTTTCGCCATAATAGGATAGAACAACTTTCTGACGCTATCTGGTTTTCAAAGGTTTTTCTCGTTGATATCAGTCAATGATAGGATTCACTCTTTATGACATACATATAGTCTGAATATTTTGTTGATTATTTTTGTGTGAAACTTTAACTGAAAAGATATGCCCTCTACACTACTTTTTAAATCATGACTATCGCTACATGCCTTGAAGAATGTATACTATCTTGGCAATAGTAGACGGTTTCCTCCTTTGATAATTCGGTACCTTCAGGTTTCATTGATATAAGAACAGGGATTTGGGTACTATGGCATAGTATAGTTCCATCAAGAATGCAGTATTATTTACTGATGATGTTTCAAGCATAATTTATTGCACACAATCGTATCAAGGCACTCGTATTACTTTCAAATTTCGTGTATATGCGGTGTCGGTGGCACAGCAGTTAGAACACCCACCGACCGTGTACAGGGTTCGAGGTTCGATCCTTAGCGGACGAACACCCAATATCAATGGTCGGCCTGATAAATTAGGGCTACCGATTTCACACGCTGAAAATTCCATACCTGTACCAAAATATACTGTGTAGAATCAAGCTATAATAAATTTTTTTTTAAAGAAAAGAAAATATCTGTAAACTTAGAAATCACATTAATCTCTAATTTTCTTTACTTTTTTTTCTATTCTTATAGGCGACAAACATGCGATCTGAGTGATATTCGACCGAAAGGATTATTGAAATTTACAGCTCCACAAAGTAGTCGACGTTAATAAGTCGACGCTTATCTTTTGTTAAATTTTTTTCTCAACTTTATATCCCCTCCCCTCTCCTTTCTTTTTTCCTTTTTTCTTCTAAAAACAAATGGCGTTTTTAATCAATCAGCTGTCTGTTCTATTCCAAAAATACAATGAATCTTTTGTTATGATAAGGTGTCATTTGTCCAAAAAAATTGTTTTTGTGAAAACATTCTCTACATCTCTAAGTATCTTTTGTTTTACTGTAGAGTGTAAACCAATTACTGTAGTAATGAGTTTTCATAAGATGTTGACATATATGCATACATAAATATGCAAAATATTACACAATCAAATCATCAAATCGAATCATGTACTCGAATGATATTTTTTTGGTAATACTATTCAGTATTATAGTAGGAATTAGTTAGTATAAATGGAATCTTACCTTCTCTTTTTGCTTTGACTCGTATCACAGGACACATCACTAAATTGTCAATTAAACTATAAAAAGAGAAAGGCATTATTGCGTCATTTACAAAACATTTTATAGCATGTTTTTAATAGCAAGGCAAATTTTGCATACAGACATAATGTGTTATAGTCATTAAACTCGTTAAATGAACGAATTAAAGTTAAATATATGTAGTAAAGGGAAGTTTTAACCTTCTTAATGATGTTATTACTGATTATTATATTCACTTTATTAAACAGTCTACTTGTGATTAGCACTACATTACTGATAATAATGACATAAAAATGTAAGTGTTCATTATCCCAATTTGTTTTTTTTCATTTCATTAACCAAATGTATCACCTTTTCTAGACAAAGAATTCAAGAATACACTGTACAATGTACAATAAAAGTAATTGAAAATACATGTTTTCAAAATTAAAAAAAATATTGCCTACTCTTTTCTCATAACTTTAATGCATTTACCACAGGTTTGGTCAGGAGCTGATATAGCTCAGAGACACACTGATAACCAGAGAGTATTGGATAGTTGTTTCGTCCTAGTTTGAGACTCTTCATCAGTAATGGGGTTAGAACCCAGGACATTCAGTTTATAAGGAGAGCTTTTAGATTATTCAAACAACTGGGACCCCATTCACTGGCTCACGAATCCGAACTTCCTCCAATCTGCGATAAATAGTACATCCATCAGCCAGTGTCATTGGTGAGTAACTGTACTCTTAACGGACTTGATGGTTCCTGCTGGCCATGACTTCTCACTAGAGCTCCAGATAACTTCTTGTATACAGCCAATTAGTACTGAGCATTAGATTAATTATGAAGTGTAAGTTGCAGACATCTGACTGGTTATACGTTTGATCATTTGGAGAACCGGTGGAAAACTGCTGGCTGGCAGCTGCACTATATACAGCGAGTTAGCAGAAGTTTAAATACATGGGCCAGTTGATCAGTTCCCAGTGGCTGAATTGTCTACGAACTGGCCTTGTAAGCTTAAGGTAAGGGGTTTGAACCCCGATGGGTTCGTGATGGTGAAGAGTCCTAAAGAAGTAGGGTGAAACAGCTGCCCAGTACTCCCAGGTGTCTAATAATTCTCCAAATCAGATCAGCTTGTGATCGAACTTGTAACCAATCCCCGCAAACCAACATTTGAAAATGAATCAATGTATTTATTCCTGGTGGATTAGAAGATTTTATGCAGCTGAAGTTATTTTTCTTTTGTATGCTGTCCTAAAAGTATCTTTCGATTGTCTTCTGGAGGATATTAGAACCTTCAGTGTTAACTCTTAGTCCACTCATAGAATGTTACTTTGTACAATATTACAAGACGTTCGCATCCAATACATTCATTAGTTACAATAATAACAATAATAGCTTTATTCTAAAAAAAAACGCGTTCATATGTAATACGGATTTTCAGTGAGTTACATTGCAAGGTATTTACCCCTTGTGTAGAATCTTCGAATAATATAATAATCGGTAATACGTCATCTGAAGCAATAATGTCCCATACAAAGTATGCTTCAGTGCTACTCTACAATGTTCTTCCTTGATTTCCTAGTGGTAGGTAGAAAGGTGTTCAGAGAGTACAGATTGTGACTCATTCTGATGATTAGAAGATTAGAGCAGCTTGAAATGGAGCCTTTTGATAGACAGAAAATTTAGGTAGCTCAGTGATTTAAGCAGGCCGCTATGTCTGATGTCTTTACTACTAACGTTTCTTTGACCTTTCCGTTGTGAACTACTTGACATGTAGCATCATCATATACCTACTGAATCACGTTTATAAATATTCGTGGAACTGTACTGCGTAGTGTTAAAGCAGCTACCAAATTACTTCAGGGGCTATGCTGTAGGGGCTTTTTCAAAGCCTACAGAGTTGGGGTAGGGAATCGACTACCATTTTAGGCTCTGTTTGATGATGACGGTGTGAGGATTTGCATTTTCATCAGTGCTTGAATTGTGTTATTTCTGAATCTAGACTGATCTGGGTGAATTCTTCCATCTAGAACATCTCTTAGTCTGTCCAGAATGATGTAGCTCAACATTTTGCTTGAGGTGAACATGAGCATGATTCCGTGCAACTTCTTGAAAAAGCTTAAATCACACTTCTTTGGAAGTCTGACAACATAGACTTTCTTCCAATCTGCAGGTAATTTTCTTTTTGCTTCCGTACCCTGTACGTCACTGGAGCAAGCATGTTCTCAGAGGTTTCTAGATCTGTTTTTAGTGATTCCAGATGAGATTCTATTTGTCCGTGCTGCTTTCCCGACTTCGAGTGACTTTAAGGCATTCAAGACTCCTACTTAGGTTGAAGAGTTGGTGCTGACCTGCAGTTCTATGGCTTTTTGTGGTGGTATTTCCTAATGTTCAAGTGTCATTTGATATTAAGCAACTCAGAGTTTCTCTTGCTCCACCTCTTAAGCGATTGGATTTCCTTCACCATCTTTCACTGGTTTCGTCTGCATTAACCTCTTCCTGGATATAGACCTGGTTATCTGATATAGTGTTTTGAGGTCTCCAATATTTACAGCCTATTTTGCTTCAGTTATCTATACGTTTTATTCACATCGCTTTTAAAGAGTTTCAGTATTCTTTTACGTGGTTTTCATCGGCACCGTTTCTTAATTCTTCCGGCTTTTTCCTCACAATTCCTCTGAAGATGACATTGTTAGCTTCGTCCTTTAGTTTGTCAGGGATAAACTTGAATTGTGGACGATCTCCTACTACTATGAAGGCCTGAAACTTAACTTTTAAGGTTCATTGTACTAGGTAGTCATCTAAGCCTACATCTATTTCTCCTCTCAGTCTTGAAATTCAGCTGAAGTTCGTTTGACTTTTAGCGTCCATCAAGCCAAGTTTACTTTGCCCTGTGTATATCCTAGTGATTTTATACGCTGCCTCTAATCGTCAAACCACTGATAGGGCTGACGTCTGCAAACGTTTCTCCGTTCTCATTCATTTCACTGAACACCTATGGATCAATAATGAGTTCCATTCCCGTGTTGTCTCCTCCGAGTTTGGCTTGAATCGATATCACTCATTAAAATTTAGATATCACCTTCTTTCCGCGGTCTAGTTCATTACTGCTTTTAGTTGTCAGTAGAAGTCCTCTTTCTCATTTTATTCGTCGTCATTTGCAGGTATGTAGCACTGCAAAATTGTAAATTTCCTATCTTCCGGGTTGAATATTGGCATCATGACCCCATAGGAGAGTGGTTCTCACTGAATAAGACCCTTCGATACTGTTGGTGATATCATGACAACCACATAAAAGTCTAAATTCGTAAAAGATATTATAACAGTATACTGCAAAATATTAAGCTAAATGGGTTATAAAGGATTAAAGTTACTTGACAATATTGTTAGGTAGACTTCTCCAAATTAAAAAGTATAATCCAAAGGTGCAGTTCACCGTGTACGTCTCATCGGTGCTATGTTCACCTGAAGATGTTGGCCACCGGTTGTCGAATATCCCCTAGACGAGGATGAGAGTTCCTGTAAGTTTCAAACAGTACAACACGATAATTAGTAGGGAAGTAGACAGTTGAATTGAGTGTGAAGAGAAAGCTTGGATGAGGACGCGTATATTTTCAGTTTCGCCGCGAAGTAGTTATTATTAAAAGAAAGCATATAGAAAATGTGTCATTTTTTCACATTCAACACAAAATGTACAAAATCATTAATCTAATCTCTACAGTCTTCATGATTCCAGCAATGAATAAGTTTATTTGTTCCATACTTTGAAATCTCTGTAGCGATCAAATCATTTTTTCTACTGAGTGGGTTGCTAACATCACATCCAACCATTCCTCATTTCCGAGCTTGGGACAGGTTATTTACCCAGATATAATTCTCTCAATCGTAAGCACTACGTTTACCTGATCTTTATAGAACTAACTTCTTGAAAAGAAAATCACCTAAGTCTATAATGGTTTTTGTAGGTTTTTGTTCATTGTCCTCAAAAAATGTGCATTAAACGTAATTTGCACAATATTCCACTCTATCTCACCTGAAATTTCACTTGTTAATACTAGGAAAGTATTACAATAGCCTTACAGTGTTTAATAGTGTCAATATCAGGCTTGATAATTAGTGGGCTTTCAGACGTTCATAACTTCCCTGTGAACTTATTTATTTCAATATTTTATTCTTTTTACTTCCCAACTGAGCTTCAGACTTTGAGCTATAATATTTCAGCAGTGCCTGTATTGTTTTGTTTAGGGTTGAGACTGTTAGCCTTACACCCAACCTTTTCTCACTAGAGGCTAAGAGAAGTTTAGGTGGGCGTCGACTGATGATCGAGTCCGGACCACGCGCATGGTTGGGCAGCATTCTGCCGTTGAACTACTCAGGCAGACTCCCCGTGAACTGGTAAATAACAGTTTTACCAAGTCCAGTGATGAGATAGCCACTGTCAAATTACTAGAATGACAACATTCTGTAAATTCCTTTAAGCGAATATTATCAACTAAGATCCAGGTTGTTTTCTTTTCGTTTTTTTTTCAACTTAATGAAATATCATGTGAATTCATGAAGCTAAAATGGCAGAAGAAGAAGAAGAAGGAGACGAAAACAGAAATGCTTATCACTAATATCCACAGGTAAGTCATAGTAATGCCAGTTAACAAATTGATAATAATTAAAGATTATTTTAAGTGTCCAGCTGTTTTCGATGCTGAATTAAATTTCATAAGGACTTTTTCTGCAGAAAAATAAGAAGAGAAGAGAAACTACAAATATGCTTTTGTGCCTTTTACGAATATACATACATTCTGTGATATCAACAGTTTTGCATAGTACAATGTATGTGTTAGAATTTTGATATAATTATTTGTTCATATGCTATAGAGTATAGAGGACGCTATCTTCTCCCCATTCATACAAGTACGTGTTCAACCCACTGTGTCTAAAAAGATTTACATATTCCTCTACCTATGAACATTACAAGTCCTTACAACAAGACATTTCACTATTTCAGTGTGTGTGTGTACGTCAAATGCTTGTATCTTGGTGTTCGTTTTTGCCTACACAAATTTTTCAATGTTTATCAGTTTTGTATAATTTTTCTTCTTTAGGGGCGAAGAAAAGAGACTTTATGCATGAACGTACATTTGGGTTGTGCTGTGAACCACATAATTTCAGAAATTCACTCATATCAGAATATAAATGGAGTAATTACTTAAATGAGAGTAGAGATTTCGATAATATATATATCTTCAGTATTTGAGAACTTCTTTTGTGTGTGTATGTAAGTATAATGCAGTCGAATGCATGTCGAATTCTCTATATCACAAAATTGCAAAAATGGATTACAGAGGTCCTTTCGCCTTTAAGAGAGAGACTCATTATCAAATCATTCTGTAAAAAGTTCATTTGATTTGATCGATATGCT